GCAGGCGGGCGAAGTCAAGTAACCTTTGCCTTCTCAACTCTTAAGAGAATGGGCGAAACCGAGTACCCCAATTCTCTTATCTATCCAGTAGAGGAGCTCTGCACAAGTTCAAAGACCCTTCGAAGATAATGGAAGACAATAGTTGTCAAATCCTCACCAACGGTGATCAGTACTATTGAGAGTAGATTGTCCGCTTCATTTCCCAACGAAATGCCAATCGAAAGCGGAAGTGATGCGAACCTACTTGGATGTGACAACTAACTGGAAGAAGAGTCAATGAGCAGATTTTGTGGAGGAAGAACCCAAAACTTCAGAAGTTTGCGAGGCGATGCTCGTTAAAGCTCCAACAAGCATCCACCCAGTTCAAGCAGCATGTGGAAATTTTGAGAAACTGGCGCAGTAAGGATGGTCTTTTCCTTCATTTGGTGGATCCGCAGGAATCAACGAGGATCAACACAACTCAGCCAACCCCACACCAGAGTCAGAGTCATTGGCGAGTTGAAGCAGCATGGCGGATCAAAGGTTCGACTACTCAAAAACAGCAGCGGAGAGCAACTGGGAGCCAGGAGGCGCATTGCAGCTGGAGCAGAAGATTGAAAACTCAGCAAAGGCGAAGAGTTGCAGTGTTCACAAAGGCTTCGACGAGGACGTCGAAGGAATAAGTGGGGGAGAATGTCACGGACAAACTTCGAAACAGGGTGTTTGACGTAATGCTTATGTATGTCCGTGTCTTTTGGCATGTTCATGCCTTGTACAACATGTAGAGAGGCGGCCGAAGGCATAATAGTCTCATTTTAGTTGGGTTGGTGGCCTCTTTAGGCTTGTAAATAAAGGTTGTGTCATGTGGACACGTGCGAGAGCTTTTCGGTCTGTAATGGACCATTTTACCCTTTGTTGTGCCACTGTTCAGAGCTTGTAAAGTCTGTTTGTAATTTGCATTGTCTATGAAGTGTTTTTCGGAGATGTTTGCTTGTGGATCCCGATTGAGGCGTTCTCTCTAACCCGTTCTCTCTTTTGGTGGTCCTAAGGGACAATGGGAGGCTTCGGGGAGGCTGACCTTTGCGGACGGACACGCAAGGGTGCCGCACGACTTAGGCAAAACCAGCTAAGTCCGTGTCATTACGTTGGATCATCAATGCACAAGACATGAGGTTTGATGTTGTTACCAGTTCCAACGTGAGAACAATGACTCATCAAGTGTCATGACAACCCACATCCAATATAAGGAACATGCTGATGTACACATGAACCTGTCAGCCTAATTTTATATTCTCAATCCATCCAGTATATACTTCAACCACCTAACTCAAAACTTAACTTGACAGAGTGTCATATTAGAATAATCAACTCAATTCTGTTCCGCACTTCAATAATCAAATTAATAAGACCAATTTAGGAGGATAATAACAACGCAAACTTGTTATAAGATCCTGCAAATTTGGCAATAACTTGTTATGACTTCCTATGAAGATAACAACCAGTAGTCCATATAAACCAAATATGAATTTAATCAGCTAATACATATGTGGGCTTGTTAATCGGTCTAAAAAGAATTGCCATTTGCAATCGAGGTGTAGTAAGTCTTTTTACTAATATGATTCATAATATATTCAAATTCCTCTCTATCATCACAATCATGAATCATGCACCACCGCCACAATAAATGAAAAAACAACAGTTGTCAAGATATTCTTATAACAGTGTGAAAATGTATTCAACATTGCGAAGAGTCCTACTGCTTAGCTACTAGATGCTTTAAACAAAGAACTTATAAGACCTACCCCAGTATCTGTATCATCCGCTTCAGTAGATCATATTCGGAAGCTCCAGGAAATAAAGGCAATCCTAGAAACAGTTCAGCAACAATACATCCGAACGACCACATATCAATCGAGCTTGTATATCTGACAGAAATGTTAAGCATGATACTTTTTACACAATGATTACAAGCAATTAACCAAGATGATATTGATGAAGAGCCACATACACTTTGTCAAATAGAATTCTACTGCCACCTACATATATCATGAATAATCCACAGAAGAATAACACTCACAATCTGGTATCATCACTCAATAAGAAAATTAAGCTCAATATTGTGATGCAAAAGGAACAAGGAGAAAACCGAAATGCAAGATCAAACAATTTTTTCCCAAAAATGAAAGAATAGTAACCAAATTAAGTAGTATGCCAGAAAGGATACGGATAACCCAGAAGAACTTCCGGAGACCTGTAGTAACGACTCTGCAATACACAGGAACAAGCCTTGCATGATAAGCACACATATACAGTACTTTTTATATCTGTAACTCTTCAGATAGAAAATTGCATGTAAGACTCTGATGAGGCAGCAAGAGCACCTGAATATATGAGTACACTGTCCGACCCTCCATACAGGCTGATCCAAAATCAATAACCTTTATTTCTGTTGGCTTCACACTGTGGAATTCAAGAATTAAGAGTCAAGGTTCAACAAACAAATAAAATCCAAAAAAATCCTGCCCTGGTGTTACAATTAGCAGCTCACCTTGTAGATATAAGTATGTTTTCTGGCTTCATGTCACAGTGTATTATGCCAGCATCTTTCATGACAACCAATGCGCGCAAAATCTAAGGATTGACATAAAAGGGCATGAATCAATAATGAGAAATGAATTTTATAAACCGAAGCTGGAAATGTTTGTACACTTGACTTGAAATCAGCTCACCTGTTTTGAGAACATCTGCACAATGTTTAATGATAAACCTTTGAAGTGGTTCATTTTAATTAGCTCATACCTACAGAGATGATAAGTGTATATCAGATTCATAAACATAGCAAAATCATTCATCATTAACACCAAAATTTGTTTGCTGTATATATATATATATATATATATATATATATATATATATATATCAGAGACAGCTTACAGGTTTGAGCCAAGCATTTCAAAGGATATGCACAGGTGTCGCTGAAATACAAAATAATCAAGGATGCGGACAATGTGATGTTTATCATCAGGATCAAACTTCTGATTCAACTGCATGGAGCAATATAAAGAAGCATAGTGATTATGACTTTCCATGCACAAACTCAATATGCACACACCTACTGCCCCTCATATTATTTACCATGTGCAGAATAGAGACCTCAACCACTGCCTGCCGATAATAAGCAGGCTGGTTTTTTATTATCTTCACAGCAACATAATTGTTGGTCTCCCAATCCCAGCATTTGGCAACCTGTCCAAAGGTCCCTTGGCCAAGCATATCCTTGACAGTATACCTAAAATCCAGAAAGAAAACTATAACCAAGTTTATGAAAAAATCATTTGATAATGCATTACTTTAGATATCAACAAACTAACTGGAATGCAATCATAGTGAAGGCATTAATTGCAAACTCATTGCTTGTTGAATGTCAAACTCCAAGAACGGTTCAAATTTTAGGGATTCAATTGATGAGCTAGAATTTGCACAAAGTATAGTCCCTCCTTTCAAGTAATATTCAAAGCACCCAAACACTCATATGTCTTCATATTCTGAAAAGTAATTCCTTAATCAGATTCACTTTTGGACTAATTAATCCCCTATACAAGTTAGTTTCACAAAAAAGAACCTTGATCTTAAATTTCTTTTAGGTCTTAGGATCGACCATGTTATGAAGCACTTTCTATAAGTGATTATTTATAGTACAATATCGATATTCAAAGTAAAAAACAGATAGCTGGTGTTTTTCTTTTCACTATTCTTACAGCAATAAAAAATCTATCGTTCAGATTTGTGGAACACTACAACTACAAGTCGTACCTGCTGAAACCCCAAACATAACCAGAGTTGTTCAGGGCCTTCATGGTTTTAACATCAGAGAACCACAAAAACATCTTATGAGTGTATATCAAGAAGCAAAGTTTTAATTAATAAAAGAACCTAACCAAAAATGCTATAAAATCATAGTGGAGTCAAACCTTCGTTTTCTCTCTAAATTGACCAACTCAAAGTTCACATGTAAGATAAGATCTGAATTTGCATTATCGTAGCCATCATTCAGCACTCCGATTGAAGGATTTGTTAGGAAGCGCTTTGGATTCACTGCCTCTGAATATTTAAATGTGGGATTACAGATTTGATAAGTTTCAACTAGGCCCTTGGTCAGTCTTGTCACCAGCTGCATAAGCAAATTTGCTATCAGTACTTAAAAGTTCAAACATTGATATTTGTTAGAAAGAACCATAATCAACAGCTTGCACCAACATGGTTGTAAATGATGGGAAAGGTATGATAATTCAGTAGTTACAAGATGAGGGTGAGAAACAACAGTTAACTGTAAAAACTCATAAATTCACAAAATAGCTATTCATAATATGACCACACTTGCATCATATAAAATAACATAAATGAGGAAATTATGGTTGCATTCAGTAAAGTGAACATAATGATAACAATATAGACAGTTAGAAGAACAAGAGCAGCCACAGAAACAACTTGAATCATATGAGATAGCTCAGAGTTACCCATACATGGGGACTCTAGATACCAAGGTCCAAGGTTCAGGACATATTGTGCAGGCACTTAACAAGCATGTAGAAGTGTGCTGCACAATTGTGACATTGTCAAAAATCACTTGCGTCCATAATTGGAGGCACAGCATACTGCAGGATGGGCTGGCATTACCCAGTGCTCCATGGCAGCAACCAGCCAAAACATCTTTGGCAACTAGCACCTCCTTCCTTGCATATTACTCTGTTAAAGTTAAGATCACCTTGTAGGTAATTGCTAAGTTCAGTCTAGTGTACAACACAGATCACTACCACCCAACCATTTCTACAACCATTGTATTAATGACATTCAACTCTTAAAGCACAACAATTAAAGCAAAATTGCATTATTAGCTTCCAACTATTGCCAATCCTTTAAAATTAGTTCTCAAATTCTAGCCTATGAAGCATGAATATGAATGCTTATATTACAGACTAGATACAATACAGATATGCTGACATGACAAATCTCATGAAAGTAAGATATGACACAACATGAGCAGGACAACTTGTGCACGTATATTTTTTCTATATCATTATAATTGCATACTTTGTATAACATGGGTAATTTATGATTATCATATATGAAACTTAAAAGATTTGTCAGAGGTGTTCAAACAAAATATATAAACATTATAAGTACGTCAAACTTCCAAATTATACATACATATACCCAGAATCTGTTGTTTCATATATATATATATATATATATATATATATATATATATATATATATATATATATATAAAACACATAATACAATAAACATAATAAAAATGTATTGAACAACTGGACATATGTTGGTATGTGTCCCAAATTGGCCCAGAACAAATTATGAAATGTTACTGATTCACGAGATATAGCCAACTACCAATAGCTGCCTAAACCGTGCCACACAACAACATATTTATCATAATTTGGAAATAGTTCACCTTTTTTGCTTCTAGGCTGGACTTAGCTTTCCTAATTTTGTTTTGTGTCCTGGTATTTGAAGCAGAGTTATTAAGAAAATAAGGGAAGATTTACTCACAATCTCATCACCAAAAACATAAGCTCTTCCCCCTTTCCCATCTTAATGGAAAATATGGTCTAGTTCATTAAGTAGATCTTTTTTAAACTGCCCAGACACCAAAGACAAGGTTCTTTGGGGTCTTTAAATGGATGCCTAATGTCCTTAGCTATCTGTATAGCCATCAAACAAGTCACATTTCCTTGCAGCAGGAACCGTTTTATCACTTGCCACAAACTATGGAAGTCCAACAATACTCATCAGATAATGATAGAGATTTCTTACAAGACATGGTTATCACATGCCACAACAATAGATAAATAGCTAATTTTAATAAGGCCATTATTTGATAAATGCATAGTTCAATCTGATTAAAGCAGCCTAGACACATGCATGGAAATGTCAGAAAGCTTATCTTAGCATAGAAAACCACTTCAAAGATTGAGAAAACAAGAGTCACAATTGAAAAAAAAAGCCAAAAAAAAAGCAACCTAACTTATGTTTTCACTGCTTAGGTTTTCGTCAAGTTTTCCATTATAGCAGATCTTCTTAGTGCTCATGGTATGTTAACAAGCGTGTTGCTCACCATGTTTAATTGCTTGAAGTCAATGTCATTAGGGTCAAATGGTCTTATTTAACCATGATGCTATTATGGACAGGATATGTAACAGGGTCGTATGCATTAACTACTAGAACCAAGGTACAGCAGAACAGTAGTAGTACATTTCATGTTTCTTTCTCCCACATTGTAAAATTAACTGGTCTCTTACGATCGACAATCTCTTGAAATGCACATGATTCTCCTGTCAATCAATGTAACCGATATATGCCTTTATTCTTACAAAACCTAAGATTAGTAATTGAAAAGCAAGAACTTCAAGGGTCAATCTAAATTGTACAAACAAGTTATTGTATTAAACACTCAGTAAACAGCACCACACCAGGTTGAATCATTTCTGATGGGAATGGATTGTTTATCTTTGATATAAATGCTGATACATTGCATTTAGTTGAAGTTAAATAAGGGTTTGTTTTAGGATCTGTTTTCATATAGGAGAAATCTCTCATATGCCTTTCTTCATGATGCAAATCTACCAGTATGGAAAGAAAGCATTGTTTCATATTGGTTTTGTTAAAAGAAGACATGGAAGAAATATTTGTTCTCAGTTTTAAGTATTATGGCAAAAAGCTAAACGAAGGTTATCGACAGTGGAAAGAAGTACAGGTCTCTTGACGATCACCCGAAGTGTGGTGCTGCTGCTGCTGCCGCTGCCGCTGCTGGATTGCGTTGAGCTCGCCGTAGAAGACTGGGAAGGAGAGACATACGGGCGGAATGCTTTCCGAAGCGGATTCCACGATGAGCTGGAGGGGGGCGGCTCATCACGAGATCCATCCTCCACCACCACCACCTTGCTGGCATCAACCTCCGCCATAGCCCCCGACCGACCAGCCCTACTACACCATCAGCACACGCGGCGCCACCCGACCTAAATCTACCACGCCGAAGCGCCGCCGAGATCCTGGATCGTGTCAGCTGTTCCCCGACTCAAACCCACTAGTCGCCGAATCCCTCCGGACGATTCCAGTCCCATCACCTCAATTCCGACGACGCATCGGGGCGGAGGAGGAGGCGCCGGCAATGACCGGATCGGGAGCTCAAAGGCGTGCAGAAATTATTCCGGAGCGGACGGGAAGATCGCAGCAACACGGAATCGAGGAGGGTTAGGGTTATCTATGGCGATGATATCAATAATTAATACAGAGGAGGAGAGGGTGGGCAACAACGAAATGGTAGAGGGGAGAGAGCGGAGGGGAGGGGAGGGGAGAAGAGTACAGAGAAGGAAACCTTCCTCCCCGGGATGAACGAGGACTGGATTTCGGAATTTTTACCCTTTTCGCCTTTTTCTATTGTTTTCCTTTCGAATAAAATAGAACTATTTAATTTTCCTCCTCCGTTCTTCGCCTCGCTCGTCCATCGGTCTCTCGTGTACCGAGACTCAATAAATTGGCCACAATTTTATCCATTATCATTATATTGTTATATATGTGGCCGAACTAACCGTGGTTAACAATACCCGACGCGCCGGTTTCGTCGATGCTTGCTCCTCTGGGGTGGGCCCCCAACTTTGTCTAGTGGGAGAGAGAGGGTTGGAGCGGGTGCGGGCGGGGGAAGTACGCTTTCTCTTTTGTCTCTCCTTTTACCCCCTTATCATCATCGTTATTATTGTATATTATTATTGTGGGATATTAGATGAACGGTGAGATGGACTTGCAATCGATCACCGGAGGACGGGATGATCTAAATCCTACGGTTGGCCGACTGTTTTGGACCGTTGGGACGTGGTCGTGCCTCCCAGCCTCCGCCGTGGGATCCCGTCCGTCAGCCTTCGTCGCTGGGTCCCACCGCCGACGCTAATAAGATAAGCTGGCGAACACGTGTCGGTCCCGAGCGCCCGTGTTTGGTTTCACGCAAGCGACGCGTACAGCGTGGACTACTGACCAATAGGTAAGCTTACCTTCCGCGCTCCGTTCCTCCTCTCTGTCACCGTTCATGACGTATGCAGTTCCAAATTTTGTTGGGAGGAAAGGAGAAAATTTCGAAAAAAAAAAAAAAAAAAATCAAAGATCAATATATATCATAAATTGAAGATCAATTATAAGATCTTGAATTATCTTTACTTCAATTCCAATAATCCAGAGAGAATTAAATTTAAAAAATTTAAAAATATCTAAAATATTCCTCATGTCTTATTCTTCCTTCATCAAAACCAAATAATATATAAAATATTTATTAAAAATAAAATCTTAATTATCAATATTTTTTACCTTCACAAATATTCTTCCTTATCTTCCTCGGACATCAATTTCGGAAATCCTAAAATAATTGATAATCCCAACTGTTAGTCAAAGGAAAGAAAAACCTTTTGATGAAAAATAAAAGCTGAAACAACAGCAAAATAGGTTCAGATGTGACAGTCACCGTTCGGTGATCAATTCAGTCGACATATTTTGCTTGAGGATCCATCGCAACCCAGTCATAGGCACATTTAATGAACAAATATACAGAGCAAGCAAACACAGGAGCCATTACATGATCACATATTATAGTGCAGAGAAACAAGTAACACGTAAATATAAAGTAGGTAGAAAGGCCGGGCAGACGCATCATCGTTACAACGCATTTGTGTAAACACATGGCTTATCTCGAATATTGATTTGACTGGAATAGGACGCAGTGTGCATATTTTTGGAGTGACTGCCAGTTGGGCCTATCTATCTATTCCTATCATGTGTTCACTTGGAACTTATAATGAGATGATACCTGCTCACCGCTCATCTCTTGCTATATCAAGGAGTTGCACAGACTTCCCTTCCGTAGCACCAAGTTCGGCTTCTCAATGGGCTGGTTGGGACCACTGTGATTCTTTTGGCCTTGCCATCGAGAAAGTGCTCCTCTGAGGCCTTACCAATGTAGAAGCTGCTAAAACGCCCATCCACAGTGTTCATCTGGTCAATTAGAGACCGCTTTATATGACCAGGGGGTGTTTCTGCGATTCCAGCCAGATATACATTAGATGAGAAATCAAATTTGAGGTTGGCAATTGGAGTGGTGGGATTCTTCAAGTCATCCTCTTGAAAGATATCTCCTATCCTTGACAAGATACTGAATGCCAAACCTCCAAGAACCCTTGAATAGGCTTCGGTAATGGCATGTCCAACATCCTGCAACAAAAAGTTAAAAAGCATCAAGAACAAGGAGAACAGATCGCTTCACATGGCTGATGCACGTCATATAACCCTAAACAAGGTTCATAAGCTTTTGTTGATCCTAACACAGTTATGATTGAAATGGAAATATCAAACTATGTTTCTTCTTGCAGGTATGTGTTAAATTTAACAATGTTAGGAAACAGATCCTTTTGCAAAAATTATTTGCGGAAGAAATGAAATTACCTTGTTGTGGTGGACCTTGGTGACATCAATAAAGGATTGGGGGAGGTTAGGGAATCTGATTCTTAAAAGATGCAGAAGTGCTTCGGCCCTCTCCAAATTGACTACCCTCTTCTCAAGCTCTGATCCATTTTCTTTGACAAAAGACCATGGGTATCTTATCGGTGACTTTTTCATTGTTTCTTCAGTAATCCTCTGCTTCCAGGCAAAAACTGCACCTTCCAACTGGTTTACCATATCAAGAACACTGTGTTCAGTTTCCATGTTTAGAGAAAGCAAGACTTCCTCAACTGGAATTGATTCTGCAGCAATAGCATGGTAGATATCTACACCCAAGCTAGCCTTTCCTGACTGTTTGAAAAAGAAAAAAAAGAAGACAAAAATACAATAATAATGAAAAACAAATTACACTTTAATGTCTCCAGCAGTACACTAATTAGATTGGAAGCTTGCCTTTGGAAGAGCATCCTTGATGGCAGAGGGAATAGGCATTTGGACCAAGACCTGTTCATTTATGGATTTGGCAGCTTTCAGGATTTGATGGACAAATTTAGCCTGGAAACCAAGCTTTCTTCTTTGGGAAGGGGAGAGTCCAGACTCTGGAACCCGAGGAGCAGGAAGCCACCATTTCTTGCTCTTTGTACCATTGTGCAGGCTGGATCCATCATCTCTGCCACCTACTTCCGCGTACCAAAACTCCATGTCCACCATTGAATCTAACACTTCCTGGAAACAAGTCATTCTTCAATGGTGCACATGTAGCTTAATATACATACATGGAAAGAAGATTTTATAGAGAATTATAAGGCACAATTATATTTGCAATGCCCAATATGTAGCTAATCATCTAATCTTCATTAATTTATGTTAAAAAAAATAGACATCAAGCATACAATGAGCATCGAGTCTAGTTTTCGAAGGGCAGGAAGTGTCACATGAACATCTGCACGAGCTTTTGGGGTCATTATCTGCAAAAGGTAGAGAGAAAATAAAATTTTGTCGATGTCAACATATAAATCTACATAATGTGTGTTTAGCCACCAAGAATGCACCTCTAGCATCCCACCATCAGTGCCATTCTGCTTTGCAGGAACCAGCTCAACCATGTAGTTGGTAGGGGAAAGCAACCAGTCCATTTCTCTGCGCCATCTGCTCTTTTTTCCTTCAGATAAGGGTTCCAATTTCCAAAGTTCCCCAAATATTGATGCTAAAACGGAAAGAAAAATCAGAACCAACAGATGATATCAAAGTACCCATTGCATGAAAATATTAGGCTTTTCTTATTCTGATAATGACCTAAAACTACTTGGCCAAGTCTGCATTAATGACCAAATAATTTTGGATAACATATACTTGACCTTGATATTCAATCACTGGACACAACTTAACATAATCTATATCTTTAAAAATATTACAAAGATACTTCAGAAGATGATGTTCATCTAAGAAATACAACAGTTTTTGGACTGTCAGCAAACTTATAATTTCCCAATAGCATTTGGATCTAGAAAGTGGAGAAGTTGCTCTCCATGTATAAACTCAACAAGTCTCATGGATAATGATTATTATCTCACAACGAAATGTGAACTTAGCTTTATGGAGAAACTAGATAATTAGCATCTTAAAGGCAAATACGTAATATCTTCAAGCTCATTGTCTTTACACCACAAACCTAGATTTTTCTATCCTCCAGATTTCAAAAAGCTGGCACTAGAAAAAAATAGTTCTGATATGATGCAGCCTCATTAATTTTTAAGAAGCAAGTTGGATGTGTGACACTCCAACCACAGTGTAGGCCAGTAAACAAAAAAGACAAGCTCAACAATCTGCAGCCCATAAGCCAATAAACCGAGTTGCATAAGGTCCAAATAGTGGTCAGAAGGTCCAAACTCCAAACAAATGTCTCATTTCATTTATTAAGTGAAATAACATCATTACCTGCAAGATTGGTAATGGCATGAGATAACCCAAGAGCAGTACTGATCCCTTTGGCCCCCCCTGAAACATCCTCACCAAGCAACAGCTTTGCAAACTTTTCCTTCATTACCTCAACATCTGAGACTTCCATTGAGTATGCGGCAGGTGCCTTTCCTTTAGTGCAGAAATGATGCAGGGTGTTAAGATTATCCAACTCATCTAGCAAGTGCTCCTGCTTGCTCGAGGGCAAGCACTGTGAAGAGAAGGAAGAGCCGAGGGCATCCTTGCTGGAGAAGCAACTTGAAGCATCCTCATCAGGGGAGTCAATGACTACAGATCCATTAGTTCCACTCGTTCCATCGCCAGCACTCTCATCGTCGTAGGTGCAGCTGTTGAGGATGCAGCTCTCAAGGCCATTATATGTCATCACTCCTGCAGAAACATTTGTTCATGGTTCTAATTTCATAGAGAAAATGGTTGATAGAGCTGCCTTGCAATTCAGAAAATAAGCAATCTACGGCATCATCTAGTACCAAAGATCTGAAGCTCTAAATGTTACCTAACAATTCAGGTAACACGTTTTCACACTTTTGCTTACTAGATGCAAAATCTAGTAAGCAAATCTTCAGATGCACTACCAGATTCGTGACATCAGGAGGATAAAGAGCCATTTATTATCTTTACAGTATGGTGACCTGAAAGATCATCTAGACGTCAGGAATAGTCTGGGCAACCGTAGACCAACACGGCTCATCACGTAACCTACGGGCCATTGGTGTGTACAGAAGACTCGTTTACCAGATGCCTACAAAGTGTAAGTGCAACTATGGTCCACAGCAACCTCAATTACCTAGCGACTTGAGGCCTACGGTAGACATCTCCCCCACATTTCCCTTGCGACGCACACCACCATCGTTCACGTGAACGGCCGCAAGAAAAGGAGGAAGACAGGAATCTCTCTCCACCAGTAGAATAACTGTTCCAACACCAGTTTGAATTCCCAAACCGAATTGACCAATCCTGATCGGCCAGATAAGCTATGCTGGCTCTAAAATTCAAAGATTGGAAATGAATTCAAGCTTTAATTTGTAATCCAACGGGTGCCCCGCTCCCCCCTTCATGTCCGCTATTACTGCCATGAATCCTTGGTTTAAATCATCTCAATAATTCAGTAAATGAATACTCCACATGACTGACACGTACGGGAGGAGCTACGCGTCGGACAGCCATTATCGGCACCGAACACGGTCGGATAAGCATATTGTATTACTTGCTACGGTGCGACCACCCGGCGCTCCTCTCACCATCGGTGCACTGTTTTGCTCAGCAGTCTTGTCAATTAGAATGCAGTGATGGACCACTATCCCTCCCGTCCTTCTACCCAACAAAACCCCACAGGAGGAATGGGAAAACGACTTAGGGATCCACCGAAGGGCAAAAGCTAAATTGCAGAAAGTAAACTCGTAACCGGCGGAAGGTAAGAAGAAAGAAGAGAAACATACTGTTTTCCTTCTCCTCGAAATCAAGGCTCAAGTCTTTGGTACGGCGGCGACAGCAAGCTAATCTCTTCATGACTATGAGCCGCCTGCACAAGAGAAATCAAAAATCAAAAGATTGCGTTTGCTGAAACCATAAGTAGTACAGATTAATTTCAGCTTCACTCTAAGGAAGGAAGAAAAAGGGATCCGGCGCTTGTTATTTTTTGCTCTGGGCTTTTGGGTAATCGTGCACCTGCCACTTTATTAAGTCATTAAGCTGCTGCTATCAATAGGTTTGACGTAATTGAAAAGCTGCCAATCGATTTGAAAGTAATCAAAAGCTGCAGATGGGGAATTTTGAATCTTAAAACCGATGATGATGCGAACTTTCGAAGACATGATAAAATCGAAAGCCGAAATGAAAGAATAACTAAATCAGGACTTGGCCTCATCGAATCGCCACCGTTTTCCTCCTTCGAAGAAGAGGAGGAAGAATGTGGAGTGTTCACTACTCGAATCCGTCTGGAGAACCCACAATGTCGAGAAAATAGCACAAGAGAGCAAACCTTCTTCTTCTTCTTCTTCTTCTTCAAGCGGAGCAGGACGGAATGCTAATCGAGGACCCCGAAGGACGGCCAGATCTGCACCAAACAAGCGATGATGGAACAAAGAAGGAACAGAACACAAAAGGGAAACAATACAGAAGACGATGGAGGGGGAGAAACAAGTCACCTGAGCTTGCCCCAGTCAGCGACGCATCTCCTTCGATGGAAAGTAGTTCAGTTCGGTTACTTCCGTGTAGGAGGAGGGGCGACACCGTCGGCGGAGGAAAGGAGAAGAGGACAGAGGTTGTTTTCTCTCGGGGTTTGGAAGAATGAATGCCCCACTACCATCACCACCACCATCTCGTTTTCTCCATCTTCATTTTTCATTTGATTTATTGAATAAATTGATGTTTTAATTTATAGGTTGCAAGCAGTACACAGCCTTCTCATTGGATCCTACGCCGTCCATCTTCACGTTTGCACCAACCTCAATGCTACTATATATTAAATATATAGCCGCGTAGGGAATTGGTTTGGCCTGACCGGACATAAGCCTTCGACAAATAAATAAAAACAAACCATGTTACACGAAAATACCGAGGCTAGCTGGTGGCTTCTACTACTAATCTGCAACTTCACGTTGGCAGCCTTTTGTTTAGCTAATTTCTACGTAATAAATAAAACTTCAAGTTCGATCTCCTGGCAATAAAAAAATGTTCTTTCCAAAGAGGGAGAGATTTGTTCACACTTTTTCTCAGTGGTATCTATGAAGAGTGAGAAATCAAGCCACAATCATGAAACCAGTGCAAAACAGAGCGCAGGCAGTGACAAGAAACAAGATGGGTGTAGTAGATCCGGAGGCAAGAGGGACCACAGTGTGATATTTGGTTGTAGGTATTGTGCTATTATTGTCATCACCATCATCATCATCATCAGAACCCCCCCCCTGGAAGCTGTCTTGCATAGGGCCATTGATCAACAACGCACTAACTGGTAAGGATCATGGAAACCAGTGCCTTGATCACCATCCATGGCAAACAATGCATTGTAGCATCATATCAGTAGTCGGCCGAACGTTGCTCAATTAGTTGACATCCACAGTCCGAACAGAGCACTCCCTATATATACACAATTCTACTCGTACTATGGACATGCTGAGTTATCTTTCGCGACATTCCAATTGCTATCGTAGATCTCATCAGCATTTTACTAACACTAAAAGGATTGTACGTCCTACTTGTGACGATTTAATAGATCTTAAATCTAGAATCTCCAGCAAGAACGACACACGGCTAGTAGCAACAAATCCAGCTAAGAAATCTCTTGCCTTTCCAACTTGCAATTTTAACTCTTCTTTTATGATAGGTAAGACAAGGCAAAACGATGTAGAGAAAAGGCATCTTTGTCACAAACAAATACTGCCTTGACAGGTCATCAACTTTACAAGCTCAGTCATGTAGTAAATATTTTTTTTATTGTGTCTAGAATGATACAGAATGTACTGAGCGCATCTAGTGATACTTTTTATTGTTAACCACTAAAAGGTTAGTAATGCATTTTTCCTTTTGGGAAAAGAACATCATATGCATTAGCAGAACCCCATATACTTTTATTTTTAACGTCCTTTTATGATAATAACTTGAGCTTATTCAAATGCTTTTCATTTAAAAAATACATATTGAAGACAGATTTTCCCCGCCATTTACTTTCTCTCTCCATTCTGATTTCTGATTGAAGCAGCCAACTCAATGAAAGCTGGTTTCATTCTATCTCATGCTTGACTTCTCTCTCATATTCTCACTTCAATTCTTGGATGTGGTTGTATCATGTCTTGTACAATCTGAATCTAGTAAGAGCGAAGGAATGAAACATATTTTTCATTCAAATGGATCAACAAAGACTTATTTTCAAGAATGTCAGGGCAATGATGCATCTGAAAAATGATTTTGCTAATAATCGACAGGAGCCATTTTCAGGAATAAGTCAAAATCCAGATAAAAGATTTAGTGCAATGCAGAGGTGAACAACCACATTGTGCGCATAATCGAATCATCCCAAAAACCAGAAAAACCTGTGATATTACAAGTATTGACTGCGATCCTTAATCAGACCAAACTGAGTTTCAACGAAAAGAATTACATAATCCAACAGAGTGATGTAAAAGCTCTTAAATATAAAAAAAAAAGAGACGTTTGAAACGGGAAGAAAATTTGTGCATTGATGTTAAAGAGTGATGTAAAAGCTCTTACACTGGGCATTACATAAGTGAGGTCCACAATGCACTGCACCGAAACGGGAAGAAAATTTGTGCATTGATGTTATACACATCTATTTTACACATCCAGCAAATAGTAGAGCTGAATGGCTAACTTATCAAACAACAAATAGGTTCTGTCTGGAGTATGATCACTGCATAAGTTTTGGAAGGAGATTTTTCATAGTTGTCAAGAGTCATAAGCAACTATTTGTATTGCTTCCATGGTAACCAGACTGATAAAAATAATAAGTTGCTAAAGTATCACAACATTCTTTACACACATTCCTCTGAAATGGTTAGTACGAATAAGCAAATGCATAATAATGAATTTTGGTAAGCAATATCTAGCTATCCTAAATAAAAATTCACAGCACCACTGACATGCCTAGTGCATAATAATGAATATCGGGAAGCAATATACAGGCCAATGCAAGCAAAGTATCAAGAATCTGCCATAAATAGGCTAGGCATGTGCCACCACACACTACCATGAGCACAACATTTGCTCCAGCTTGTGCTTGGCATGGGCATGTCATGCTAGATCATAATCCTAATCTCAAAGACATACATCCACTAGAAGTGGAGACTTAAGAATCATAGGACATAGAAGAATAAGAACCTAAGGCCATGTTTAAAAGTTAAAACGAGTTATGTTGTTACATGCCAGCATATTTGTTCCTCCGAAATGAAGATAGCTTAACATTGTGAAGCCTGAAATTTCTCTACACCTAGACTCTTACAAGATCTACAGAATTAGGAGGATTGCCTTTTCTTTTATGAATTTAAGCTGCAACTAATAAGAATGATCACTATATCCATCATTTGTCCTATCAAAATCCCTACCTTGCCTAAATTCCCATTTGTTTAACCTCACTATGTGGAAGTTACAGTAAAAATAATCAGGATTAATCACAATACCCATAAACAAGGGCAATCCTACTAGGTCAAAACTTTACAAAGTAGATCCTTTCGCATAGTAAATTTTTTGTAATTAAAAAAATACAAGATTCTATTGGTGAATCTTTACAAATAAAAAACACCCACTGGATGTGTCATCCATTATTCCTCATTTTAATTCTTTTATTATGTTTCTGTTATCCCCAAAGACAAAAGATTTCCTCAAGTTTACTTCCACTCTGATGTTTTCCTTTTGCCATTGGACTCAATTTCCAGCATTCCACTAGCGATAGCAGGTTGCTTAGTTATAATCCTTGTGACATGGAACAGTAAAAAGAAGATCTTTGAAACTGAAACAAGGCATGCAAAAGTCAACTCCATTACAAGGCATCAGGGCAGAGAAGTGTAAATTGCTCCTTTTGCTTTCAGGGAAGTGATGCAGAATACATGCATGAAGGGTTTACTAAGGAAAGATTTTTTCTTTTTTTTTAAGGATTTGATATTTATGGAAGATAATATATTAAGTGATTTTGAGAAAATAATAAAAAGGATAATCTCAGACTCAATTTGACACAGAAGACCAAATGAAGACAACATATTGTACATCTCAAACATCTAAGTCGGAACAACATCAATAGGTGAAGGCTTTTTATTAATCATCCTACTCCATACATCATAGCACTTGAGAATAAAAATAAAAGAAATCAATTACTGATCTGTTAAAGGAATAAGAAATGTGAATATGACAACCAATCTCAAATTTGATTCATTTATCTTTTTACCAACTTCCTAAACTCATCAAAATGTCAATCGGTCATTTATCTCCTTTTTTTGGAAAAAAGTAAACTTCTAAATGTGTTTGCGAGATAATCTTCCTTATTTTCTTGATTTTTGGTTAGGATTGACTTATTTTCTAATGCCCAATCTTTAATCAAGTAGTTTACTCCTAATCATGGATTATAAACTTGGTACAGTACCAACATTGGTTTGTGCCTGAACTGATAAGGTACTGTACAACATGGCGACAATATGCATGGGTCAGCATCTAATACTGCCAAGACCAAAGATAAGACAGAGAGAGAGAAGGGGAGGAAGAAGGCAGCAATGTGAAGTTGAGGAGGCAAAGGAGGGGAGAGAGTGAGATTAGCAGAAGAAGTTAGAGAGAAGAAGAAAAAAGATAATACTGTCACATTAAAGAAAATGCATCAGATGGCTCGGTACCAATCTACTTACCGATTGGAGGATGAGGAAAAGTAAGAGGAGACAATGGAGGAATAGGAGGAGGTGGCAGAAAATTCCAGATGGCAACGAGACAATTGCGATGTGACGAGACAGAGAAGATGAAAAAAAAAGGAGAGAGATAGCCTAACATAAGAAGAGAGAGAAGAAAGAAAAAAAAAGGACAGTTCATAGTTATCAGAAATTAAAAAGAAACACTACGACAACTCATCATCAGTCTGTTTATTTGTCAGACTGATGAAGGCAGGAGATAGCAGAGGAGAAGGGAGGAAGAAGGCAGCAATGTGATGTTAAGGAGGCAAAGGAGGGGAGAGAGTGAGATTAGCAGAAAAAGTTAGAGAGAAGAAGAAAAAAGACAATATTTGTCACATTAAAGAAAATGCATCAGATGGCTGGGTACCGATCTACTTACCAATTGGAGGATAAGGCAAAGAAAATGGAGACAATGAAGGAGGAATAGGAGGAGGTGGCAGAAAATTTCAGATGGCAATGAGACAATTGCGATGTGATGAGACAGAGAAGACGAAAAAAAGAGAGAGATAGCCTAACATAAGAAGAGAGAGAGAAGAAAGGAAAAAAAAGGACAGTTCATAGCTATCAGAAATTAAAAAGAAACACTACTAGACAACTCATCATCGGTTTGTTTATCGTCCAATAAGCCTTTCAGTGAGCTCACGATATTAACCAACCCGATATAGGATCAATTGAGCAGCATCATCTGGTTTACTAAGTTGATTGTCGAACCAATATACACCAACCCATATTAACCAGTACAGCCGAGATACTAATCCATGCTCCTGGTCTTCTTTTTTTATTTATTTACTTCTTTGTCAAGCCTAATGAACTATGTAAAGACTTCTTATATTCATAAAATAACAAAATGGCTCCCACATAATATGCGTTCACATGTAGGAACTCTTCCTCAAGCTCAAATGCTCGAAACTCGGAAATCCTCAATTCAACAATTCACGATGAATGTCTATTTTGTGATGTCCTATATTGATGTTATAGCCTTCAAATCAACCTCAATGACAGAATATCTTAGTTAAACCAAAAAATCAAATACCAATCCGGTGTACGATAATCGTGAAAGAAAAAAGTGGGCAATTTGGAAAAAGAAAAGTATAAATACCAAACTTACTTCTGAAAAAATCACTTGAAAGTCTCACTTCTGCGTGCTTCATGTCTCACACATTCATGATGGAATCACACCATCAGAGAAGACAATTTTTTATGTTTCATAACTCTAATACATTATAGCATAGCATGATGCCATACAGAACTGTCAGCACATTAAAAAAAACAGCTAGTTTCAAATTTGAATTAGTCATCTTTTCATTAAATTTCCATGCCCATTAGGATCCCAATCAATCATATATCTTAGTATTCAAGGAGAGATATACTTCCAAATTGGGGATTGACTTCTTTGGGCATGATCTTACATATCTTCTATTTTAGCTAATTTCTTATCTATTACTTAAAGAAATCTTGGTAAGTCCAGAGATTGTGCCCAAAATAGCAAAACTATTCCAAAGGAAACAAAATGGCTCCAAATTCACTTATTTACTCCTCTACGCTGGCTACTAATGGCCCACTTGTATTTCCTTGTAAACAATTAATCCTAAAGAAGCAGCAAATATATGGCCTAGGATTAGGTTGGTGCAACAACCAAAACATATTTATATTCAAAGTTCACAAATTAAGTTCAAGGATGGCTTTTCTTGAGAAACACTACCGATGCCTATCCGAAGCCCAGGTGAAAAACGTTGAGGGTTGCGTTAGGTCACTGACATCAATATAGAGCTAAGTCATCACCCGAAAGTGACGTGAGACACCTTCACTACCTAGGTGTCCCAAATTGCAAACGGTGGGCTAGGAAGTAGTCGGAAGCAGCCCATCATGTCAGTAACCAGACGTGGCAAGTAAGCAAGACTCTCTCTCTGTTTTGGACAAATGGAAGTAAAGAAGTTAGTCCAAGAACAAAGGGTTTGATTAGCAACTTGGAATATATGAACACTTTTAGGGAAGAGATTAGAATTAGTAGACACTATGATCAGAAGAAGATTAAATATTATTTACTTACAAGAGACTAAATAGGTAAGGGAAAAATCTAGAGAGATTGATAATATTGGATTTAAAATTTAGTAGTAGGAAAATTAAACACAGAAATTGTGTGGGAATTGTTATTGATAAGGATCTTAAAAACAATGTTGTAGATGTAAAAAAATTTGAAAATAAAATTATAGTTTTAAAATTTGTGAAAGGACAAGATGTTTTGAATGTCATTAGTGCTTATACCCCTTAAGTCGGATTAGATGATCAAACCAAAAGAGAATTTTCGAAAAGCATAGATGGTGTCATTCATGGAATGCTCATAACTGAGATATCTATAATTGGAGGAGGTTTAAATAGCTATATAGGGCAAACATATGGTGAATATAAAGAAGTGCATGGGGGCTTGGTTATGGGAAAAGAAATGAAGATGGTGGCATGTTTTTGAATTTTGTAATTTCATATGATCTTATGATTGTAAATACTTACTTTAAGAAGAGAGATAAACATTTAGTTACTTATAACAGTGGTTACAATTGTAGTTAAATAAACTTTTTTCTCACTAGAAGGGTAGATAAAGTTATTTGTAAGAATTATAAAGTTACACCTAGTGAAAGTTCGACGAATCAACATAGGTGGATGGCATTAGATATTCATTGCAAAAAATGGAAGAAGAAAAAAATAGTAGAAAATTTTACTAAGACTAGATGGTGGAATTTTAAAGATGAAAATGTAAAAATTTTTAGGAATATGATGGAAAGGGAGACTATTTGGAACTCAAATAAGGATAATATTAATATTATTTAGACTACGATGGCTAATAAGACTAGGAGCATAGCAAAGGAGATTCTTAATGAAATTAATGATAGAGGTTTAACTTTAAGAGAGAATTGATGGTGGTGCGAGAAAATTAAAAAAGTAATTTTTACTAAAAAGATCATGTTTTAAAGATTGACAAATTATAAAAATAAGGAGAATATTAAAAGATATAAAGAATCTAAAAAAGAGGCTAAAAAAACAGCTAGTATGACAATATATAAAGTTTATGATAATTTTTATAATAAATTAGGTACTAAAGATTGTGAAAAAGATATATATCAAATTGCTAAAACTAGGAAAATAAAGTGCAAGGATTTAGGTAATATTAGATGTATTAAAGATGAAGATCAAATAATACTTGTTAATGATAATGAGATTATGAAAAGATTAAAAAAATATTTTTATAAATTATTTAATGAATATTTCATGCAAGACTAAGATTTAATGATAAATAGTAGTGGTAGATTTAATAATCATAGAATTGTTCGTAAAATTAAAGCCAGTGAAGTAACAAACGTATTAAAGAAGAAAATAGCTAAGGATGTGAGGCCTAATGGTATCCTCATTGAGGTTTGGAAAAACTTAGAGGACAAGGGAATATTTTGATTAACTAGCTTATTTAATAAAATCATAAGATTTAGAATGATGCATGACGAATGGAGAAAAAAAATTTTGGTGCCAATTTACAAAAATAAGGGTGACTCTAAACTTAACTAAGCATATGATTTTTTACAAATCTCCATGACGACAAAAGATCCATCTAGTCGATCCCAAGTAGTTGGGACTTACGACTTTATTGTTGTTGTTGTTGATGGTGGTGGCTTTTTTTTTAGACTAGACAAATTACAACGAGATATGACAAGTTCCTACTAAAGATCAATTAAGCCTTTCAGTACTGAAAATAAATTTTATGGACATTATCTTATAATGAGTTATGAGCCAACCGCAAATAATTGAGACTTTGCTTCATGTTATTGTCCTATTGTCATATAATCCAAATCATAAATACACTATGATCGTCATTATAGAAAAGTCACTATTTACACTAGAAGAGTAAATATTTGATTACTCATTCACGGACAAGGGTCATGTGGTTTTGCATTCAGATGATGGCAAGTATGGTATTAGTAGAAACCTAAATCAAATTGCAAATCATACATACTGTTAGGGCCTAGTCACAAGGTGGATATTGGTGTAGGCAATGAAAAGTATGCAAATTCCAGTCAAATCAAATTGCAAAGTTCAAATCCTATGAGATTACAATGTAGATGTAACAGAATTGAAGTGATTAGATTTGTTATGAACTTGATTTTAGCTGAGGCTGGTGCAAAGAAAAAGCATAACATATTAATAATTCCACAAGGTCTTTAAGTTCCACATTCATTTAAATAAAAGCAAAACCAAATGGTGGAAACAAAAAATAAATAGATTATAGAATCATATTAAATATCATTTGTGTAATTACACACACAAAAAGATAGAAAAGTATTAAAGAAATAGAAAGAAAAGGAAACTGAACCAAGTAGGCTCAATAAAACAGACAAAACCTGCAAGAAAACACACTATGCAGAATGGGATAAAAATTTGAGGAGTATTCTGCATGTAATATATATGAACAAGATAAAATAGAAATATAATGTTTACTGTCCTGGAAGCTTTGTGAATTAAGTCATGGAAGTCATGTAATCTAGCCGACCCCAATCATGAGTTTTCAGCATCTAATATATATGAACAAGAGAAATAGAAACATAGTGTTTACTGTCATGGAAGCTTTGTGAAATAATATGCTATCCACTAATATGTAAGTCATGGAAGTATCAAATCTATGTAGATAGACCTCTTGATGCTTCAGGAATGATTAAAGCAGCCAAGCCCCTCAATCGAACTTATGATGGGTCTTGCAGCAAAATGAAATCCCCTGTTCTGTTTGGAACAAGCAAATATAATCACAATAAGTACTTCAATTTCGATCAAGGAAACAAGATCTGGTGGAAGAGCGTGAAGCCACTGCCAGATCCTTGTTCATATATATGCACCTCCAACCCACAGCCTTCTTATCAGAAAGATCTTAGAAAAGATTGTCAATATAGACCCAGAATTAAAGGAGTGAGACATACCCGTCCAACCACCATTCTAGATATCCTAATGCTGCTTTAACCTCCTCAGAATCCGATCATAAGCATCCTGCCGTCCAGCCTTGTAAAAGGCAGTCTTCAACTTCTCCACAGTGGATGCCCGCAATTCTACGCCCCTGTCAAGCATTTCATCAGCATACCTTCTCAACTCGCTCAACCGCCCAAGTTCTCGGAACCCGAGGAGCAGCTCATTGGCACACTCGTTGTCCAGTGAGACAAACACCTCCGTCACAAAACCCCACACCTCCACAGCTGCAGATGGGTTGTACTGGTCGAAGAACATTCTAATGGCAGCTGCACAATTTTTGGGAGACGGCAGCTGCTCATTCTTCCGCATCTCTGTGAAGAATGACTCTGCTTCACGGGCCCTCTTGTTCCTAATCATACAATCAAAGATGGTGTTATAAGTTAAGGGGTCAGGGAAGACCCCATAGTATGGCATTTCATCGAGTAAGCGATAGGCAGCGTCAAGGTTGCCATTGTTGCAGAGAAGAGTGATCATCGAATTGCACATGGAGAGACTGGGGATGAGGCCACTGTCGGTGACCATTATGTTCCACAGAGCGAGGGCGTGGACGTGATCGTTCTGCTGGATGAGGATGTGGAGGGCATTGCCGAAGAACTTGAGCCCAGGCAGGCAGTTTTTGCCCTTCATCACCTTGAGGAACTTGACGGCCTCATCGGGTTGGGAACCGCGGACGAGGGTGATGAGGAAAGCGTCGTAGGCAGACATGTTCTTGGCGTTCCAGCCGACGCGGATCACCATCTCGCCGAAGGTATTTTTGGCGCGGGTGACGTTGCCCTCTTTTTCCCAGCCCTCAAGGAGGATGGCGAAGGTGTCGGCGTCCGGGGCAACGGTGGCCTTGACGCGGTCGAAGAAATCGGCGGCGTCGGCCATGCGGCCGTCCTCACGGCAGATGGCGCTGAGGAGGGAGTTGACGACAACGACATCCTGAGGGATGCCGTAACGGTCCATGACGTCGAAGGTCATGACGGCCTCCTTGATCAGGCCGGCGGCGCAATAGGAGCCGAAGGCGGAGGCGAAGGTGGCGATGGAGAGAGCGCCTTCCTGCTTCATGGAGCGGATAGCGTCCCACATGGGCTCGAACATGCGGTTCTTGCCGAGAATGTCGACCATCAGGTTCCAGGCGTAATGGGTGTGCTTCAGGGAGAGGCCGGACCAGCGAAAAAACTTGACGGCAGCGGCCGGGAAAGCGTAGCAGAGGCGGAGGACAACGTCCACGTGCTCGGGGAGCGGGGTGATGCCGCAGCGGGAGAGGACCGACTCCACCTCCGCCGGAGGCACCCGCGAGAGGATCTCGTAAAAGGCACGGACACGGGAGTCCTTGACCGCGAGGCCCGAAGCCGACGACGATGGGGTCGCCAGCAGAGGAGGTTCCGGGATGGGAGAACGCTGATGGGGCATCGCCGCCGCAGACGCGGCAGTGTAGGTATGACTCCGAGCGAGTTCGGGTTTTGGTTCGACCATGGCTCTACCTTGTACCGCTTGCCATCAGTAATACGCTGCTAGTTAGGGTTTCCGCCCGACCGAGGAGAGAAGAAAGGAAGAACGCACGGCGACAAATTGAATGATGACGAGATATTAATATGCTTTTGCGAGGGAAAATATATGGGTTTTATTACCACTATCGTCATTTTTGCTGCGCTTCGGAGCTTCATCGGCCTCAGTTGATCAGTGTCTCATCCGAAGCGGAAACCATAAAGAAATTTTAGATCTAAAATAAATTTCAGGAATCTTTAAAATTAGGATCAAAATAGTAGAATGCATTTTCCGTTTGCACTCTTCCTCGAATATATAGTTGACACCAAATGACTTCAGAAGTGATTTCAATATCAAAGTAAGCAATACTAATTGATGAGGAAAGGATGCGTCCTGTATTGAGATACTATAGTGGTTAGGGAATTGTTTCACAGCTAATAGATGTTGTATTCTCGTAGCAACATTGCAGTCTCTGCACCATGGCCCATATGTGACTCTGTCATCAACGTGGATGACAATACCACATCATTTTAGCCTTTGACTCTGTTCATCATCAGAATATACCCATATGGAACTCCAACACAACCTCACTCACTAATGAAATATCCTCAAAAATCATTCCTTTTATCAACCTCAAGAACTACGCTAACCCAATCATCTCCCGGGGTCAGAGGGGAGTGCGAATGGTCCCTGGTTGCAGAGTAAGAACGTCAACATTGGGAAGGCTGAGTGCAGTTTATCTAACGCGGAGCACAGTACTTGAGGCGCCGCAGTTCAAAGGCTAATACGTAGTTAATCCAGTGAATTCTCCCAAAAGACAAAGTTGGGGATCTATCAAAATCCCAATGCTGCTGTCTCCGAAACCTAACGATCACACTCTGTGATGGCCCGCCGCATATGTCGCCACTGATCCATCTCACGGTAACTACTCAGTGCCTCTGATTCGCCTTTGCTGATGGAAGAAGTTGATGGACTTGTACTTCTATTTCGTGTCGTCGTGTACATCTTAGGACACTCACCCTACCCTAACCCATTCCTCTCTGCTTTCTTTGACCTCTGAGGATTTATAAAGGCTCCTACGGTACATGGAAAAGGAGCAGCGAGCGGCAACCACATGGCCTCTAATCACCTCTCTCCCTTCTTCTTCCTCCTATTGCTTGCCGTTCCGAGCTTACCATGTGAAGCTTCCATCTACAGAGTTCGTTCAGCGGCGATGCGTGAAGGCGTCGAGCGACGGCGACCGGTGTTCCCCTCCTACAAGATCGAAGGTTTTCCAACACTTAACTTCCTTCCCAGAGGCACGCCTATCCCTCCATCGGGCCCCTCGATGCGGCACAACAGCATCGGTGCCTCTGCTTCCCCCAGACATCACTGAGTTACTGTGGCCGTTCGAATGTGTAACTGTCATGCTTCCACTAATCATCCACTCTCTTTATTTCTGTTGTTCGTGGAACTTAAAGATAGAACTACACTTTTCGCACTTCACATAGCTTCGCAAAGATTATCCACGCGTCGATCTTGTTGAACCAGAAGAACAAGTCCGATCTCCCTCTTACCCGCAACTTGACTTTGAAGACCGGTTGCCAACCACCCCATCCTATAGTCGATTAGCTTGCTTAAACAAAGCTCCTTCTGCACCTTCTGCACTGCAAAATACCATTAAAGACTTCGGTTTACCGTCTTCAAATTAGGGGGTGAGACGACAGTTCAACTCAAACCAAAACCGAATCGGTCGAAACCGAACTAGGTCAATGATTTGATAGTTCCGAACCAAACCAGAACCGGGGTCACACGATTTGGGTTTGGTTCCTGAAATACTTTAGCTTTTTATCAATCAAAATCAATGAGTCAAATCAAAATCAAAACTAAACCGATGGTTTTCGTAACTGGACCAAAGCTGAGTTCCAGAACCAAAATCAAACCGAAACGACGGTTCCATGGTCAACCTCTACTTGTCCACCTACTTCAGATGTTGCCCCCTTTTCTACCGTGTCCAAACCGCAAGTTCGGCTACCAAACAACTCGAATTCAACTGAGAGAAAACAGGGGGGGTTGGGCGTGGGTTTCGTGGGGAGGAACTCACTGCGTTTGGATGGCCAATAGACAGGGAAAGAAGTCCTCGAGGATCAGATAATAGATACTTAATTTTGACTTCAATCAAACTCTAGAATGGTGGGGTACAACAAGTTTATCTCTAGTGAGAGGAATTTGGGATAACGTACATGAACAATCTCTCAAAAAGCTGAAAAGGACACCGGAACTACACGGACACTGGTCGCTATATTGTGCAATTGGTGGGCAGAAACTTCGACTCACCAGAGAATGTATCTTCTCTCAGATGCAATTACGTAGCAGCATCCAATACCGACGTTGAAAAGTGCAGGTCTTATAGCAATCAAGGAGACAAAAAACAGGAAAATGTGCTGATAAGTAGATTCGTTTAGATATTGAGAGCTTACCAGCAGGTCACAATGACAGACTTAACAATGCCAATGTCGAAAAGAGTAAAGAGTAAGCATTGATGGAAAAAGGGAGAAACTCCCTCCAAGCCAAATATTTAATAATGACAAAAAGAAGAAATGAAACTTAAAATGAGCTCAGAAGAACTCACGTCCAGGGTTCATCGGTAGCTTATTTTTCTGCATTGACCTCTGCAGGAGTTTTTGTAGTCATTTGATCGACAGCATGCACTGTGCTCTGAAGCTCCTCCCATATAGCTTTGTACACCATTCTCTGCCTATTCACCATGGATTGGCCTTCAAATGCCTTTGAGACTACATCAATGCTGCAACAGAAAGAACGAACTTAATGAGATACTCCTAAAGAGAATTTGATGGAAAAACTAAATCAATCTTTTATTCATCATAACCCCACATCATCGGCAATGGTAACACCTCTGGAATGCATATAAGCTAACAAGATATCATCAAGCATTCAGGGTAAATTATGACATTCAGGAAAGTTACTGAGACCAAAGTCATGACTGATGAGTTGGACAAACTGGGTTGTGTGATTTCATTGCAACATAAGATATTTCATAGAATCTATATCATGTAACACCAATACATTCAGCCACATACCCAGTTTACAGGTTACTGGAACTGGCATCTACTTAAAACCCAACTCCACAGCACTGGGTGCATGACTCAAGCCTCAAACGGTGGGCACTCTATATAACAGTTCAGACATTCCACTGTCATGACTGAATTCATTACAAGAATATTAAGGAACAGACAGTATAGCATAACTGTTACTGTTCAAGTTTGCCGAAATATGTTAAACTGAAAGAAAACTTAGATAGCGAATAATGGTACGAGTACTTAGAACCTGGGAGGACAGAAACAATTATGTCTGAGATCGGGGAAGATATCAAGGACATATCTTGCCCACTCAAGTTTCCCTACATGGTAATGGTCATGTAACTCCTGTTCAATCCACTCAAGTTTGCCTATATGAAAATTGAAAGTCAAATTTAGAAGATATATTGAAGCTTAGTAAGAGGGTTCATGGAGAAAAAAGGCCTTCTCTTTTTTTGTGTATAATATAAGGAGTGAACCCCTGCCTAGTTAAATGGGTCAATTATTTGGGAATCTAGTTTGAGCAGATCAAATACTCAGGCACACCTTCTCAAGAATTTGAACCTAAGTTATCCTCAAGATGACAAGGGGCACCTGTTCTCTCATTCATTCACACTCAATTCCCTCTAGCCATTGTGCCCCCTCTCATCCTACCAGCGCTACATTTGCATGTCTATGAACCTTCATCTCAATCGCCACATCCCTTTCACTACCTTCTGCCTGCTCCCCTCTAATGGTCACACTCGTCACCACTCCACTGCCCCTCTTGCAACCTTGGAGTTGCTTGCCGAGTTCAAGATTGGTGTCAACCACAGAGGATGGTATCAAGTCAATCCTTGACACCTTTGATTTTGTCTAAAAAGAAAGATGACCCAGGTGACATCCTCGCAAGGTTATAAAGCAGAAGCAGTATCATAATTGCAGCTTTACAAGTTGGACAAGGATGGCAAAAGTAGATATGTGCTAGTGCAGACACTAAATCAGTACAAAAGTCTCCATGGAGCTTTATGCATGATGACCTTTATATCATGTTAATTATGTGCCTCCAGTGGCACTATCTTTATGCTCTTGTTTTATCTACTTCAATTTCGGATGAAGTTTTGGAAAATGCAATCTACTTTAAGAAAAGGATGATCATCTTGGTTTAGTTTTTCCTAAGACTGTTCTTGGAAAGAATGTCATGCTCTAAATTGGTCTATGTGAAACAAGAACTTCATCAAGATGCTTTGTAGTCTGTTATTCTAAATGAACTTATAATCTCCTTTCTAACTCATGCATGGTAGGTTTAGATGTCTTAGAAACCCTTTGCTACTAGGTTCTCTTTTTCATGAACATATGTGTGGTCCAGGCATTGACATACATCTACCTTTTGATGACTGAATGTAATAAAAGAACATCTAGGATATCTAGAAAACAATGTTTTAACAGGATCCATCTGTTGGATAGGAGGATGTGGAAATAGATACATAAACATTGACCTGTAAAGAGGATGGACTGATACTGATATTTCAACTCAGAAGTGCTTGAGTGAAAAAGGCTTTCATCAAGTGGGCTTTCTAAGTGGATATCCATCATGGTTCATTTCTGTGCATACTATTTTGAGATAACATGAAAAGGAAGTTGATTGAGCAAACTCATTCCACCAATTGTGCAGCAAAACAGACTAACCACTTTCTATACAAGTCCAGGAATAAGAAGTGCTCTCTAATCTGCAAAGAGCCAAAGCTTCTTATTCTTGTTAACCTTATTACCTACTTATAAGGAAACTTCCTTGTGATGATATTGTTTTACGTGACTATGTTTTTCATTTAAAACTTGTGTTGTCCAGAGTTTTTAGAATTTAGATGGGAAGGAAACTGCAGAACTCGGCATCTGATTCTTCAGGAGGCACACAGAAAATGATTTTGCAGTGTAGTGATAGTGAAGAAAAGTAAAAGGCGCCTTTAAGATGTCAGCGTCACAGACAATGAGGCCCTAAGTGCCTTGAGGAGCTTGCTTAAAGAAAGCAATGCTGTTATAGGAAGAAGTACCCAAACAATGCATTAGTAGTTAAATAATTTCATATCTAGTTTTCTAATAACACAGTATATTATAAGTTAA